ATGACTCATTTACAAGAAGTTGGGTTGTAACGACTCATTTTAGAAAATACTCATTAACAAGATTCATTTACAAGAGGCTGGGTTTTAAAGACAAATTTTAGAAAAGACTCATTTACATGACTCATTTACAAGAGGCTGGGTTGTAACGACTCATTTTAGAAAAGACTCATTAACAAGATTCATTTACAAGAGGCTGGGTTGTAAAGACAAATTTTAGAAAAGACTCATTTACAAGAGGTTGGGTTGTAAAGACAAATTTTTAGAAAAGACTCATTTACAAGAGGTTGGGTTGTAGAGACTCATTTTAGAAAATACGAATATACAAGAGGCTGGGTTGTAAAGACTTGTTTTAGAAAATACTCATTTACAAAACTCATTTACAAGAGGTTGGGTTGTAAAGACTCATTTTAGAAAAGACTCATTTACAAGAGGTTGGGATTGTAAATACTCATTTTAGAAAAGCCTCATTTACAAGACTCATTTACAAGAGGTTTGGGTTGTAAATACTCATTTTAGAAAAGACTCATTTACAAGACTCATTTACAAGATGTTGGGTTGTAGAGACTCATTTTAGAAAATACTCATTTACAAGACTCATTTACAAGAGGTTGGGTTGTAAAGACTCATTTTAGAAAAGACTCATTTACAAGACTCATTTACAAGAGGTTGGGTTGTAGAGACTCATTTTAGAAAATACTAATTTACAAGACTCATTTACAAGAGGTTGGGGTTATTAATACTCATTTTAGAAAAGACTCATTTACATGACTTATTTACAAGAGGTTGGGTTGTAAAGACTCATTTTAGAAAAGACTCATTTACAAGACTCATTTACATAGTAGGGAGAATCTTTTCCCTTATCATCCCTAGACTCTAAAAAATACAGCAAGATAAATTATGTCTTGTTTTAAATCTACAGATATTAAACTACAGTTCTAGTTTTGAAACAATATCTAAGTGGGTGTGCATTTATTAAAGCCTCCACAGGAGGGCACTGTGTATGTGAATGCTTCTGTAAAGTGTCCTGAGACAACTTTGTTGTGATTTGGCATTATATAAATAAACTGCATTTAATTGAATTGAACTATTTCTGTAAAGGTGCACCTAGATGTTAAAATATGCAGTTTTGACAAGATCAGCTCAATGTTGAATGAATCTCTATAGTCTCATTTAGAAGTAATACAAAATGGTTTTATCACCCTGTGAGTCAAACAAATGTATGAGTTGCTTTTTGTATGAGTCACTTCAGCCTCCAGCAGGAACTTGGAAACCAGTTTTTTTTAAGCCTGTGGGAGGAACAGTTGAGTTGTGACATTTAAAGCTTAAGCCACAGTTTTATTCTGCCAAATGTTCAACATTTGTGAACGTTTTTTCACTAAATAGGCAAAAGATTTATTAAAAACGTGAAGGCCGAGGAAACTGTGAGATAAGACATGTCTGGATTGTCTTTATTTGTCTATCTTGCTCAGCTGGGACCACTTATATATTTGGTCGTGATGGAGGATTGGTGGTTTATACGTGGCCCCCCAATGAACGTCCGAGCACCAGGGCAGACCGACTCGCACTCGGCTTCAGCACCCAACAGAAACATGCCATCCTGCTTCGAGTCGACAGTGCGTCTGGTCTTGGAGACTACCTTCAGCTCCAAGTTGTAAGTCCACATGATCACTTTTAGACAACAATGTGTGTTTTAATTGTATTTGAGTCATTCATCCATGTTGCTCGCCCACAAAGGTTCACGTTTATTCTAATATTGCTTCACTGACAAGTGTTTCGTTACTCGACACATTGAATTGGTCCAGCTGGTAAATTCAGATGCAGCATCATCAGATTGTGGTAAACTTAGACTTAAGAAAGGATTTTGCACTTACAGTACAAAACAACTCTGTCACAGAAACAGACAAGTCAGTGGCTGTGCTGAAAAAAGTATTTTTGTGACGAGGCTCTGTTCTACTCTCTGTAATTAAAATTAATTCATTTTATAGACGCATAACAAATATTCCCTTTAAAAAAACATTGAAAATTATCTTGTTATGTCTGGTTTGTGCTTCTTTCTCTTACATATTTGCATTCCTTGATTTAATTGGTTCATTACTCGCATTACTTCTTTCAGCCTGTGATTGTAGCTGCAGTGCTTGATGTTTTATGTTTCTTATTTGCTCATTATGGGAAAACAGGAACAAACAAAGCAGCTGAGCTGCACTCAGACATGTATTTGCATTTGAGTTTTTTGACAGAGTCATTAATCAACCTCATTTCAGAGAGCTCTCGTGTGTTTTTCAGTCACAACAGGCACATTTATTTATTGGCAATTACTGAAAATGTTGCACAAATTGGTACTTGACGCGAAACAGGCATTCTCACAGGCTAAAATTATCATCACTATTAATAAGCACATTTTAGAAACATTTTGCATTGAAAGTTACGCTACTTCGTTCTCAAATGCTTCAGTCAGTATGCATTTGTATTCTAGCATGCCTTTTAAAGCATATAACAAATGCTTGTGTGGTAGAAAACTGCATTTCATCAAGACTGATTAGAAACCTCTTCTGAATCCGCTTCATGCACGTAACTGTGTGTGGCTAATTATTTCATTTTTAGTTGTTTGTGAAACAGTGTCGATTGGGTTTATTAGCACAAAAGACCCCCAGAAGAACATTCATAGTGTCAGTTTTATGTGTTCCTTAATTTATCGTTTGTAAATATACAAATCAGTTCGAAGCCTTAAAAAGTGAGACTTGGATTTACATCATGTTTTTCAGTGTATCTTATTTAGAATAAACTTAAGCGTTAAATCCGTGAGAGAAAAGATGTACTGTGCCAGATTTAGCCACTGGCCTATTTCCATCCATAGTCTCTGACAGGTAAGTACATTTTTAATGTGCCTGACAAAAGCAGTACTTCATAGCATTTATGATCGTCCTGACTTGCTTTTTGAATCTAGGAATTAGTTCTGTAAGTAATTAGCTGCGCCTGCAATGTTGATTTTTTTAAAAACATTATGGCAAACATTTTGTCGATGTAGGGCAGAAACCTTGTATCTTAATTTTTGCAACAGTCACCTTCACATCTGCAATGTTTCTCATTCCTCCATGAAGCACCGTCTTTTATATGTTTCCACTCACATTAGACAACACTTTTACATTCTCACGCATATATTAATAAGAATATTTAGAGTCAAAGGGGGAAGGTGGGATTCAGTATCTTGCCAAGGACACTTCCTTGGGGATTGAACCCTTGATCATCCAATGAAACGACAAACTGTGGACTACTAGGCAAAAGCCGCACTGATTGTATTTCCTTGTAAAATACATAGTGATGGACTTCTCAAACTTTAGTGTGTAACATGAAGATTTCACATTTATGACTGTCATCTGCATTACGCTGGACGATATGGCCAAAACTTTTATCACGATATATTTCTTAATTTCGGTCGATTACGATATAATTCCGATAACGATATAAATAATATAAAAGCCTCAGAAAAACTGTACAAACCGTACAAATAAATTAATGTTCACCTTTTATTTGTATTTAGCCTTCAAAGAAATTTGAAATCACTGTCAAATAAACATAAAACTCTCAACTTTGTCAATATTAATAGTTTTAAGTTTAAACAACAACATAACCTAAACAACCCATGCAGTAAATGTCTGCGTTTGCTGCATGTGCTTCTCTTTTGATACAGTTGGGGGGTGTTGTTTCAGGGACACGTTGACACGTTAGCCGAACCACTTTCACACCACCGAATTCGTCTTTCCTCTCTTATAAATTGTGTCATCTGCTTTCTCTTCGCTTGTGAAAGCTTGTTCAGTCACAGTCTGACGGTCCTGGGCACTCATTTTAAATCAAAAACTTACGGTGCGTTGAAGCTTAGTCTAGCCTAGCCCGCTACCACTGACTCCTTAGAGCTGTGGTGTACATCACAACACACTTACGTAGTTGTGTCACGGCTTTTTCTGTTCAGGTTGAAACTGAAGCAGCCACTTCAACCTGAACAGAAAAAGAAACGTGTCAGTGAAATGCTGTAATCATAGCATAATGTATATCAAAATATCAAAAATGTGCTTAAAACTCATATCACCATTATTGAATAAAATTATATTGTGCTATATACTGTATACCAATATTGAATTATTGGCCAGCCCTTATCTGCATGCAATAAAATATTGCATCACTCACACTAATGGAAAATTACTGATGTACAAGTTGAATGGCAATGATCCTAAAATTCATCCTTGTGGCACCCCCAAAGTGCAGCCTCCCATAAAAGACATCAAACTAATGTTTTGCTCTTGTCTGTATGTGTGTATTCATTTGTCTAACACAGCTAAGTGACATTAGCAAACACAAAAATGTCTAGAACAGTCGGTTTTGCAAATATTGAGCTAAAGTATGGTGTGACAGAAGCTGAGTCATCCCCAACACATACTCTGACAGGGTGAGGTTCAGTGTCTCATCCAAAGACACGAAGACAGGAGGGGCGGGAAAGCTTTGTGCTGCTCTTTCTCTTAAATACCAGCCGCTCAACAAACAAACTGAAAAACTTGTATATTTCGTTGTAAGAGCTTTAATAAGGAGAGACAGGAAAGAACCCCTACATTTCTAATGAATGATCTTGTCTCCTCCTCAGGACAAGGGCAACATTAGAGTGGTATTCAATGTTGGCACCGACGATATCAACATCGAGGAAAGCTCCAAGTTTGTCAATGATGGGAAGTACCACATAGTTCGGTTCACCCGAAGTGGTGGCAATGCAACTCTCCAACTGGACGACCTGCCAGTCATAGAGCGGTACCCCTCAGGTAGGCCCTTCCGCCCACATAACCCCACCCTACTGACTCATGCCTGCACTGCCTGTTCTGAGGCAGCCCGACCTACACCTCAGTCCAAATGCAGCCACCTCAACGGACTGATGAAATAAAATATTGTTCTTTCCATGTTTATTTTAACACTGACTTTGAGATATATAATTGCAACTTTGTTTTTGTTACTGTGTTTGAAATGAAATATGTTTGATCTGATATGAAACATGACTTTTTAAACCATAAAATGAGATAGCAATTACAATAGCGATGTATACTAGCCAGCTGTATTATGCTAGGCCTGTTAAATAGTGTTAAAGGTAATTTTCTGTAAATAGTAAATTCAGGTTTTAGATATTTTTCCTCACATAAAAGAAAATAATAATAGTTGGTGCAATTCTGGGCAAATAATAATTTAAAAACTTGTCATATTTTGAGATAAATGTTTAACTAGAGAGAAAAAATAAGAAAAAAGGTGTACTATGTTGAATATAGTTTTTTGTTTTTATACATTTGTTTGTTTTATATTTAAAAGTGGTAAACGCAGGTAGCTAAAAATGATAAATGGTAGTTGTTGTGAGGTGTGTGTGAGGCTTATTCCTGTATGTAACTCTAAACTCAGTCAGATACAGAATGTGAAACGTTATTTCCCTGTGCTCTTGCAGATGTTAACCCCTGAAATGTTTTTTTTTCTTAAATTAAGTCCAATGAACAGAGAGTAAGAGTCCGCTCACTGGAAACATAGTCAATGCAACTTCTCTCCTCGTGGAAACGCAACTTTACCGTAACGCAGCCACATGCAAACAATGAGCAGACCATTACTTTCTTTTCATTGCTGTTCTTTGTGTATCCAGCTCCTGTACCACGTATGGATGTGCGTAATTACTACTGTGTTTTCATCTCTAAATTAAAGGCAACAATGATAACGAGCGCCTGGCCCTCGCCAGACAGCGAATCCCCTATCGGCTCGGTCGAGTAGTTGACGAATGGCTACTCGACAAAGGTAAAAACCCTGATTAAAATTCCTTAAAACTTTGAGCTTAAAAATACAACTTGAAGACAGTTTATTATATTGTGCACCATCAACTAACATTAAAAAAAAATCTAAATCCATAACTAAGTAATTAAAAGTTGGGCAGCTGTAGTGTGTAATACTGTGTAAACTCTAGTGCCTGTGAACGTATCTTGTTAGTGTGTATCTGATAATATCAGGTTAAAGGGACGATGGAGAGATTTAAATGTGAATAAATCAGAAAATAGAAGTGCTGATAAAATATGCTTTATTAAGTCTGGTAAATTAATTTTATTATCAAATTGTAAATAATAAAGCATTTATTAAAGATTATATTGAAAAAATTGTTATCAAATTAAAGTACATGCAAAGTATTGTGACATGTAAAAATGTTTTATGTAAATTTGAACTAAAAGAGCAATGCTTTTTGAAAAAATATGTAAAAGTTTTCCTCCTAAACTTAATAGAGCTTCTTAAATTAGCCTCTAGTCCCTTTAACAGTGAGCAGTGCTAGAGCTTATAACCAGTGCATGCTTTATAGGGCAACAGTTTTCTAGATCTGTTTCTCTGTCTGCCTGTCTGTTGCTCCTTCAGATACAATGTTGTGCTGCATAGCCATCACCATAGCAACCATCTGTCAGCCCTGTCTTCTCCGGGCCCTGACTCCTCTTATCCGCTGCCTTCTTCTTCTTGTTCTCCTTTATTTCTGTTCTCTGCATCTTCATCCTCAGTCTCTTCTCCCACACTTATCTTCCTCAGTCTCCTCCATGGTTCTCCACGGCTTCGATTTGCTCTGCCATGCTTAACCTATCCCATCCTCTCACCATGCATTAGGGGGGTGGATTGTGTAACACTCAAACACTCTTGTATGTGTGTGTGTGTGTGTGTGTGTGTGTGTGTGTGTGTGTGTGTGTTTGTGTGCGTTTGTGTGCGTTTGTGTGCGTTTATGTGACTGCTGGCATGTGTGCGTTTGTCCACTTTCCTTCTCTGTGCGGCGTGTCTGGTGTGTGTGTGTCCGTGTAGGCCGCCAGCTCACCATTTTCAACAGCCAGACGACGGTGCGTGTTGGCGGAGGCGAAGACGGTGCACCCATGTTCCAGGGGCAGCTGTCTGGCCTTTATTACAACGGCCTCCGCATCCTCAACATGGCTGCTGAGGGCCACCCGCACATCAGAGTAGAGGGCAGCGCGCGGCTGGTCGGCGACATGCCGTCCTCCTCCATCACCCCGCAGTCCAGCGCTGCAGCCGGTGGCAACCGTTCAGGCTCCTCCCCCTCCATTAGTGACATCACAACCACTACAGCCACGAACAGGAAGCCAGGCGGGACGCCACAGGTCAGTGCAGTCCTGATTATATATATATATATATATATATATATATATATATATATATATATATATATATATATATATATATTGTCATTGTATGGAAACATACAGTGCTGACATTGTGATGACATTATTATTATTATTATTATATATATAAACCTTTGCTGTGTGTGGTCAAATGATTTTCCTCTCAAACGCATAAATATCACTACACTGTAATCATCCCTCAGTGTCACAACAGATTACTAGAGGAATTGCATTTCCTGCGAAAATGCAGTGCGAATGCTTAATGCTGAATAACTTGCTGAAAAACAGCTGAAATTAGCTAACATGCTGAAATGTAACTGAAATGGAGTAACAAGCCTAAGTTAGCAGAAGGAAGCAGAAATACATATTTGCTGAATTAGGTTTCAATAAGCAAAGATGAGCACAAAATTTAGGAATTTAGCTAAAAACAAAGCTGAAATATGTATAAAAAAAATAGCTTAAGAGTAGCTGACAAGGCAGAAAGAAGTTTAAACTCCCAGAAGGAAGTGGAAGTAACTGAAATGAGCTAAAAAAAAATGTGGAATTAACTTAAAAAGCTAAATTTAGCACAAAAACAGCTAAAAAGTAGCTGAAATAGTAGAAAAAGATGAGCCTAGCTGAAAAAAATGAATGGAGGATAACAAGCTAAAATTAACAGAAAGAAATTAATTAGGCTGAAAGTAGCAGAAATTACCTCAAAATACTTTAATGAAGCTGAAAACAGCTGAAAGTAGCTAAAAATGCTTAAAAGGTCATTCAAAAAGGTAGAACAAGCTTAAATTAGCATAAGAAAGCAGAAAAAACACCTGACTGCCCAATTAGACTGAAAGAAGCAAAAATTAGCACTAAAAAGTGGAAATTATCTGAAAATAGCTGAAATAAGCAAAAAAAAATAATAACAGCTGAAAAGTCGCTTTAAAAACAGAAAGAAGCTGAAATTCCAAGAGAGAAGTGGAGAGAGCTCATTTTTGCTCCATTAGGCTGAAAAAAGTTGAAATGAGTGCAAAAAATGTGGAATTGACTGAAAAAGCTTAATTAGCACAAAAACAGCTATATAGTAGCTGAAATAGCAGAAAATGCTGAAACTTGTATAAATAAGCTGAAAGGAGCACAATAAATTGAAATTCACAGAAAGAAGTTAGAAGAAGCACAAAAATGTAGTTAGCAGAAATAATCTGAAATTAGCACAAAACAGCTGAAAAAACTGCTGAAATTAGTTGAAAGTAGCTGAAAAAGTTTAAATTTGCACAAGGAAGCTGAAAGTAGCTGAACAGAACAAAATGTGGAAGGAGGAGATTTGAAGGATGGAAAGTGAGCTCGATTCATTTTCTCTGAGAAAAAAAATGGCAGAAAAGGCTAAATATGTCAAAAAGCTAAAGTTGCATCAATACCAAAAGTCATAGAAGGATTGTCCTGAAAGAGATGAACGTTTTGATCTATGATTTGTTGAAATAGCTTGAAAACTGCACGGTGAGAATTGTGCCTAAAAATGTATGGAAGAAAAATGGATCACAACAGTGTGAATGCTTCATCAACATTCACACTGTTAAAAAGTGGCAGTTTGCTTTGATAATTTTCTTCCTGAACTTATGAGGATTAGTATGCACACAGCCCACTTATGAAAGGCAGAGACATGACGGGGGGGGGGGGGGTACTTTTTCCCGCTGTAAGTAGCAAGGCAATTTTATCTATGTGTCACGCAGTTCATACGCTGAGGCAAATTAAACCGTTACACGAAGCAAATCACTTGCATTAAATAAAAAGTACAGCGAGCGACATTAAACATTATGGATGACAGATCTGAAATAACTATAGAGTTGAAATCGATGCTGGTGATGATGAATGCTCAAGATACAATGAAAAGCAGAGGATCGTTTTAAGTCTTTGAAGTATATTTTTAAGCTTTTAAGTCTGTTTAAAGAGGATGTTATATTCCAACATCAACAGCCAGCAATGATCTGTATTTAATGGATGATTAAAAATCTAAAACTATAGCTTCGGTTAAGCAGAGGAAAAATCAGACTAAAACTAAAAATTAAAAGCCATAAAAGTTGTCAAAGTACTCAATTCTTCTATGATTTTGATTTGAATATTTATGCTTCTAGCACAATATCTATGTTGTAAATGATTGTTTGGGCGTTAGCGTAACTTAAACTCGTCAGGGTTTTAGTAAATATCGAGTTAGAAAACGGCAAAAATGTTCTTCGTCTTTGTTTACAACTGAATTCAATCAGTTACAAAATTCCTCCCGTTCTCAGCACAGCTCGTTCGCATCTGCTCTCAGTCCCAACATCTGCTTTAACGCTTTCCACCGCTTGAGTTCCTCTCCTCCTGCCAACTCTCTTCCTTACAGCTTTTACCCGTTTCTTTACCTTTTTGCATTTGACTTGTTGTCTCTGATTCCATTGCTCTCCCTCTGACTCTATTTACATCTGGGGCTTCTTTTAACGACTCCATACCGGTCAAGCACCGAGACTGTCTGAAGTGTGCTTGTTCAAACGTAAGCAAACGGCTAGCAACAAAATGTGAATCTGTTGATTTCGCTTATTTATTACAAATTATGTAAGACTTATGGTAGCGAATGATGGGTGTTTGTAGCGATGAGTAAATGACGCCTGTGTGTGGGCACATTCCTCTAATTGTCAATTAATTAATCAATTAATCAGGGGAGTGGTGGTGCAGAGGCTAGAGGAGGTGGGCCTGTAATTGGAAAGTCATAGGTTCAACTCCCCGGACTGACAACATCAAAATGTGGGTGGAAAAGGTGAAACACCCACACCTGCCGCCACCCTCATTTGCTCTCTGGGCCCTTGAAAGGCCCTTAACCCCCACCATCTGCTCCCAAACAGGTCTCTCTTGAAAATGAGTCCTCGTGACTCAGTGAGACTACTTGCATAAATAAAGGGTAAATAAAATAAAATAAATAAATTGTTAGCACTGTGCTGACACTGTGTTGTCTCACCTGATGGCAACATCTGCTGGACTTAAACATCATCGCAGGCAACCTGGATAGAGATCGTGTTGACTGAACTACGTTCACTCGGTCTGACACCAAATGATTAAATAATAAATGAAAGAGTCCAGTACCAGCATCTAGTCCAGTTGATTTGAATATAACCAGAAAAACAGTGTCTCAAACATAGAATCTACGGCATTTTGTTTGTAAGGAAAGATAAATGAAAATGTGTTGTGTAAAAATCATGTTGGACATGAACGTGCTTGTGAACACTGGAGCGATTATGTGAGGGGACAAGGCGGGGTTTACTCATTTTTCTATGAGGAGCAGACGTTTTGGCAGCATGTTGGGCCCACGGTGATTTCTTTTCTTTGAGACCAGTTCTCCTGCGCTGGAGAAAATTCTATCACATTGCGCAGAAGAGGAGGAATTACATACATATTTTATTACGGGGTTGTAGATGTGCAGATATAAGTGTGTTTCTGATTCTTCCGATATTCCTAAGTTCCTGATAGGTTGGTGGAATTAATCTGCTTTCTGAAAACAGTACTTCATTGTTGGTAATTAACTACAAATCATGTGACTTAATAAAACATGAAATACAATTATATTGAATTAACATCATGCCTGATGTTAAATGTTGAGTTCAAGGTCCAGGCTGTGTTTCTTGCTCCACCAGCAGCTGATGGGGACAGCTCAAAGCTCCTTCTTTCAGCTTCACACTCTGCTTTGAGGCATTTCACAGCTTCCTTAAGCTTTGGATGAACTTCTTGAATTTTGTATCTCGGGTCAAGCATAGCTGCAAGTGCCATCACACTCACAGACTCCAGACTGAGTATTTGTGACTCTTCTTTTGATGGTTTCCAGGAGCTACGTTGCAGGCTGTGTGCTCACATTTGAGGCGTTGCGCGAAAGCTCATCGTCCAACATTTTCAGCACTGGAATGACCAGACACATTCTCTTTAGACGGCTTCTCTTCAGCTCCACTGAAAGGAGCGAACACAATGAGTGTTTCTTGAATGGTGCTATAGTCTTCCGCAGAAAGTGGAGTGTGATCTGTTTTTAAGGAGGCTAGAAAGACCCAGTGATCTGCTGTTCCATCTTGTTGGGACCTCACTGATCAGTTTCAGTTCCCATCTGCTGCTGCACTTGAACCTCCTTCTCTTTAGCTGTGGAGCCTGGTCTGAAAAAGGAGATTCTTGATCTGTGATTGACTTTTTCACAATTAAAGCATGTGCAATGCAGTCAGTGCCTAAACTGAAGAATTCTAGCAGATGCAATCCTATTTGGTGCCACGTCTGTGACGAAACATCTTACTGTCAGCTATAGCCCACTCCACCATCAGGTCCTTTTTCACTTGTGCCATATTTTCAGTGGTATGGCTCCGTGGGAAGTGTTGCAGTCCCAACAACGGTATACACATTTTATGGCTCTCATCAGTGTAGTGGCTATCTCCAGCCAGGTATGCCTCCATATTTTCCAATGTCCACATATCAGCTGTTTGACTGCCTTCTGTACTTCTGTCTCGGCTTCTTCCTCAACAATCAAAGTCAGCACGACTCTGGACTCGAAACATGCTCGGACGTGTCGATGTTGTTGAACCCACGTCTATTTAGTTGTTATTTTTATTATAGATGGTACACATATACAAAAAAATGCAATAAAAAACATTGAAATATTTCATATTTGAACAGCTATTGTGGCTTTGAAAAGGATGTGAATTGCCAGTGTTAGAATTTAAATGTAGTCAAGGTAACGAGAAACAGTGATGTGCAAGAGTTTTATATCAGGAATAATCCTCAGAGCTCTGTTGTTTATTGTGTACAATACATGGTAAGACTTGTAATGACACATTCATGTAAGTAATATCCCTATAACAGAGCATTGACTGGAAAGTGGCCTTTTTAATAATAAGCATGACCTGTAAAAATATATGTCCCGTTTATGGGGGGAAAAAATCCTACTTCTGATCTTATTTTTAAGCTATTTTTAACAGAATGCTAAAAGGATTTAAAATAATTAT